CCCCAAAACCCCAAAACCCCAAAACCCCAAAACCCCTACTTGAGGATTATAGCTTGAGGTTATATTTTTAAAGAGAAATGGAACCTAGCAATAAGTCTGAATACCTCCAAAACATAATAGAAGGGATTGATCTGACTGAAAACCTCAAAATCAGAGCTGTTGAGACAGAAATAGAAGCTCACAAATACACCATGGAAAAGATAATTTCTGAACAATGAACCGTTGCTGAAGAACCCAGGGACCTCAATATCGAAATAAGAAAACTTCAATTGTCAGATTTAAAGCACACATGGGAAGACAGCGCCAAGGTCTTGCAAGCGAAGCATGATAAATGGGGTAAGAAAGAATTCCACGAGAAACTTGAGAACATAACCCATAATTACAACTATCTCATGGAAGAAATCTCTTCTGAAGAATATGAGGCCCATTTGGAGATGATCCAAAAAGTAGCCGGTTATGAGGAAAAAATAGAGACCTTAATAGAGATATTTGAGAAGAACAAAGAGCGTGAAGAATACCTCAAGAACTTGCCAAAACCAAAGTCCTTCCTCTCAAAGATCGCCAAAAGGAATAAATAAACTTGACCAGAAAGTTTATAAAACTAATGAACAAATTATTGAAGAGAAAAGGAAGAAAAGACTGGAACTAGAAAAAGAACAGAGGCTCAAAGCGATAGAAGAACATAAAGAGAAAAAGGAACAGCAGAAGAAAGGTAATGTCATTGGGCTCCTTATTTGATAACGAGATAGCTCACCTTTTTTAGAAAAAGAAGAATTCGAGCAGGCAATGGCTAAATCAAGCAGGAATATAGTCCCTTTGTATAAAAAGTTAGAGAAAAGGTTCAAACAAAAAGTTCTAATGCCAGAGTTGGAGAAGAAGAAAGAGAAGCTCCAGACGCTTAGGAATATGCATAAACCTGTAGACTATGAACAGCTGAGAGAACATGCTAGGAGTTATAGTCAGAAGAGAGCTGAAACTTTGGAGAAACATAGAGAGGAGCGAGAGAAAAAGATCCTTGAGAATCTCCAAAACCAACAAAATGTAAGAGTTTTTGGTAAGCCCCTTTAGCTAAAAATACACAAACACAAATCTATGTTTATGTTAAATGTGTTGGAGCAAGAGCAGCAAGAAAAAGAGTCAGATTTAATAAAATCAGCTGAACTACATAACCTCTATGATAAGAGAAAGAATTATGGTGAGCTTGTGAAACAGATGTACAAGCCAGAAATCTCTAGAAAGAAGCAGATTGAAATGAAAATTCAAAAGGCTAAGTTAAAGCACATTCCTAAAGCAAATACCATTGAATCATTGCATTCTGAAGGAAGGAGGTTATCTCCAACTTCCTCTGGAAGACTCAACAGTCCGAATGCTAGTGTTGGAAAATCAGAATATAGAAACTATTTTAGCGAGAATAGCACTCTCAAACCTATTAGAAGGTGGAAAGAGAATGAAATGAAACCAATGACTAAGCCAAAACTAGCCCCAATCGTCACTGACTACCTCCTCGAAAAGAGAAAGATCAGAGAGGAAAAATCAACATTTGAGGAGGACTATGGAGAAAAGAAGAAAAAGCCAATAGAGTGGAAATCACTAGTTGAAAAAATGAGCCAAAAAGAAAAAATTGAATATTTGAAAGTCAAAGCCCAGCAAATAGAAGAGAAAGCACATTTGCAAGACGAAAAGAATACTATCGGTAAGCTCATCTCTAACTCCCATAGAATTTGATGCGAAAGCTCAAGCTGAAACAGATGATATGCTGATAGATGCTCTCAAAGCAAGAATTACAGCGCTGGAAGATGTGACTGGCTCATAGCTAATTTCTATCTTATGGTAGAATAGCATTATTTAATTTATCAACTGGATAATAATATTAAGGGGTTTTGGGGTTTTGGGGTTTTGGGGTTTTGGGGTTTTGGGGTTTTGGGGTTTTGGGG